TTCTCCGGAGCTAAAAGAAACAGTTTCCTTTTAGTTTCTTTCCACAAGTTAAAAGAAACAAAGTTTCCTCTGGGGAAAGTGACAGCTAATTCTGTGAGCTATAGTGAGGAACAGAAGTATTTGAACACCCTGCGATTTTGCAAGTTCTCCCCACTTAGAAATCATGGAGGGGTCTGAAATTCACATTGTAGGTGCATTCTCACTCTGAGAGACAGAAATTTAAAAAACAAAATTCAGGAAATCACATTGTACGATTTTTAAAAGATTTGTCTTGCACTGCTGAACATAAGTTTGCTGTGCCTCTAAAAAAAAAATAATAATCTGCAATTAGATTTTTTTTTCAGAGGCATTTGACAAGTGGTGAGAAGGCAATAGGATGCCTCCTCACCCCCCCATTTTCAATCCTGTAAATGCAACCCCAACGTGCCCCAACCATGTGCATTGCACACGGTTGTGGGGCGTTTGCTGTACTTCTCCATTTGCGTAATTGGGTCACATTGGATGGCAGTATTTCCTTTTGAAAGTGACAGGGGTGACAAGTTTTTGCCGTGGGTGCAAACCATTGCAGCCAAGGCATGTAAACACCTGAGCTTGCTGCTTTTACGGCTTAAGGGGTGAGCTTAAAAAAACACGTCTCAGGAGAGCGTTTTTAACATCCCGTATCTGAAACGCTAAACAAGTCCTTATGCAGAATCTCTCCATGGTTATTGGTCTGTTGGAGAGCCTTAAAGTGAAGCTCCGCTCAAGACACAGCACTGTCACGTGGGAGCTGATAGAGTATTATGCAGGCCATAGACGGGGAAAAAAACTGTTTTGTTTTTTTTTTTAGAAAAACCAAAAATCGGTCGTTCAAATCAGCCGACGTTACCCCCATCGGTAAAAAAAGCTGATTTTCGTCCCGTCTACGGCCGGCAATTAATATAATAGCGATGTCCCTGCAGAGAGCTCCGCTATTATATCTGACATTTAAAAGAAGGAGAAATAGAATTTGAATAAGAAAAAGAAAAGGTTGCAACATTGTATCTATTTGTATCCATTTCGGATACAGATGTTACAAATAGATACAATGTTGCTATACTTTTAAATGTCAAATATAATAATCGGACTGAAATTCTTTTTTTCTTCTTCTTCATATTCTATTTCTTCTTCTTCTTCATATTCTATTTTTTTCCTTTTCTTCTTTTCCTTCTTCTTTCATGTCACTGCTCATATGCGCATTTTTTAAAATCGGTAAAAAGATCAGCCGATTTGTCCATCATTGCTGCGAAAGTCGGCAGAACGACAAATTTGGCCGATTTATATTCCAGCAGGACCAATAATCTAAAAGGTCAAAAATCACGAAAAATGGCCGACCGATTACCGCACTAAGGGATCGTTCACACTAGGCTGTTTTGCCAACGCTTGCCAAACGCCCCTATAGCGTTTGGCAAGCGTTGGTCCGGTGTTTTGCGGAGCGTTTTTAACGCTCGGCAAACGCTCCGCAAACGCCGCATGCGCGGTTTAGCGGCGGTTGCTAGGCGTTTGCCGAGCGTTAATAACGCCCCACAAACGCCTATAATGCATTTGAGTGGTGTTACCGCTCCGCAAACACCCCGCAACCGCGTCGCAACCGCACCGCAAACGCCGGCTGGGCGTTTGCGGAGCGGCACCATAGACGAGAATAGGAGGCTTCAAAGCCTCCTGACTCGACCAGAGGCGTCCGTTTTTGCCGCGACGCGACGCAAACGCTCCTGTTAGAACAGCACCATGTGCTGTAATGTGCAGAATTGGCAGAGGCGTTTTGGGAAGCGGTAAAAACACTTCCCAAACGCCTCTCTGCCGCCTGCACACAAGGCTAGTGTGAACGTAGCCTAACACTCCGAAAATCGGCCGATTTTTTTTTTCAGCTGATTTTTCATCTCATCTATGGCTCGCATTAGTCCTTTGTAAGCATTTTTTTTTCAGATGCTCGGCAACTGGGCTTTAAATCCCAACTCCATAAAAAAAAAAAAACGCAAAAAAAAAAAAAAAAAAACACACAATCCAGCCTTGCAGTGGGGCCTCCCTGCATTGCAAGAGTTATGCATGGTCAGTTCTCTGCTGGGAACTCAGCCTACTCTTCTACAATAATAGCAAAGGTATACGAGCGCTAGGTAGTACAGGGAATAAGCAGCTGACATAAAGGCAAAATCCTCTATACCTTCCTAAATACAATCAGAGATATGCAGCGCTATAAGTTAAACACACAGATAATGGAAATTGGTATATATTGTATGTATATATATAATCTCAATGATTGTCTGGGTCTGGGAAGGGGCTGCGGGTCATCAAGCACACTGTGGGCACACAGGGTACCAATGCTCCCTCACAGGACTCACTCTGCTCCCAGGGACAGCTCCAAGTTATCAGCCAATCAGAAGCACCAGTAGTTGGGGGAAACTCCACCTTAGGGCTCGTAAGCAACAAGTCAGAGACAAAATGGGTGCTAATAGTGTAGTATTTTCTGGTGCAACTGCACTTACAGAGTGCACAGTCTATTTGCCTTTAGTAAATCAACCCCACCGATGGCATGTTTTTTAAAAGGAGAAGTGCAGCCAAAGCTCTAATTGACTGTACTTCTCCTGTGGATGTCACTCAGCCGGTTCAAGCTGGTGAAAGATCCCGACTTCAAATTCGGGATCCACCCCACAGTCTGGAGTGGCACCTGGCTCATTCTTCCAGCGAAGCACCGCCTCCACAGCCCAGTGCTCCAATGAGAGCTGGGGGGGGGGGGGGGCGGCACAGCAGACAGCAATGACTGACAGTCACCGCTCTCTGCTCAGAGCGGAGAGAACTCAACGATCAGCGGTCATGCAATTGCAGAGTTCGCATTCTCAGAGCCGACGGGGGACCGATGCCGCATCCACCTAGGCAAGTATGAATTGGGGGGGGGCCCTACTTCTCTTTTAAGGTACAATCTCTTGGAGGGTTGGAAATAGATCAATGGGTGCAAGCTACAGGAAGCCAGGCCATACATTATGCAATTTTTTCTTTCAACTACAGGTTGAAGGAAAGAAAATTACTTGTCTTCCCCATCAACAGTCAGTTGATGGGGGGAGTCCCTCCCGCTGTGCTATTGTATTCCATATTCCAACAGCTGAAGATTTCCCAGCCCTCAAAATACAATGTAGTGGAGAACAAAAACAGAGCGCACCAACCTTGCGTATTACCTCAGTAAACCATTAGTTGATTTATTGATTTGGGAGATATACTCACAAAAGTAGTAGTAAAACAGGCATATATAATCCAAAAGAGAATCCTACGCTATAAGGAGACACATGCGAATCACATCGGAAGGGGGAACTCAGAGTGACTGAGAGTTTCACCTTCCGATGGGATTCGCATGTGTCTCCTTATGGTAGGATTCGCTTTTGGATGACCTCTGATGAAGAAGGGACCCCCCCTTTGAAACGCGTCAGTCACTCTGTGACTTTCCCCTTCCGATGGGATTCACATGTCTCGTTATGGTAGGATTCGCTTTTGGATGACCTCTGATGAAGAAGGAACCCTCCTTCGAAACTCGTCAGCATCACTCAGAGTTTCCCCTTCCGATGGGATTTGCATGTGTATCCTTATGGTAGGATTTGCTTTTGGATGAGCCCTGATGAAGAAGGGACCCCCCCCTTCAAAACGTGTCAGTATCACTCAGTTTCCCTTCCGATGGGATTTGCATGTGCGTTCTTATCGTAGGATTCGCTTTTGGATGAGCCCTGATGAAGAAGGGACCCCCCTTCGAAAGGCGTCACTCTGAGACTTTCCAATGGGATTTACATGTGTCTCCTTATGGTAGGATGAGCTCTGACGAAGAAGGGACCCCACCTTCGAAACGCGTCAGTATCACTCAGAGTTTCCCCTTCCAATGGGATTCGCTTTTGGATGAGCTCTGATGAAGAAGGGACCCCCTTCAAAAAGCGTCAGTTAATTCAGACTTTCCCCTTCCGATGGGATTCACACGTCTCCTTATGGTAGGATTCGCTTTTGGGTGAGCTCTGATGAAAAAGGGACCCCCCCTTAGAAACACGTCAGCATCACTCAGAGTTTCCCCTTCCAATGGGATTCGCATGTGTCTCCTTATGGTAGGATTCGCTTTTGGATGAGCTCTGATGAAGAAGGGACCCCCTTCAAAAAGTGTCAGTTAATTCAGACTTTTTCCCCTTCCGATGGGATTCATATGTCTCCTTATGGTAGGATTTGCTTTTGGGTGAGCTCTGATGAAAAAGGGACCCCCCCTTAGAAACACGTCAGCATCACTCAGAGTTTCCCCTTCTGATGGGATTCGCATGTGTCTCCTTATCGTTAGGATTTGCTTTTGGATAATATGTGCCTGTTTTACTACTACTTTTGTGAGTATATCTCCCAAATCAATAAATCAACTAATTGTTTACTGAGGTAATGCGCAAGGTTGGTGCGCTCTGTTTTTGTTCTCCACTACAGTTTGTATCGAGCTTCCCCGCTTTGTGTTGGAGCTGCACAGCCTTTGATCGGTCTTGGACGAACTTCCATACACTCTAATATTATTGGTCCATCGGCCCTCTACTGATCTGGGTCCCTGAGCGCAGGAGGTGTTTCATCTGTGTCAAAATACAATGATCACTGCTGGTGGCCTTAGTGTCAGTTTAGGTAAAAAAAAAAACAAAAGAACAAAAATGTGCACGATTGTTTCTGGGCTGTAGTACAGGTACAAACCACAAAATAACATACACATATATGGTATCGCTGCAATCATCAAGAGCTGAAAAATTTATTTTGGGTTGTTCATTGATGATAGGTTATGGTAGTAACAAGAAACACACAGCTAAATTAAAAAATTACCACCAAATGAAAGCCCAATTTGTCCTAAAAAAAAAAAAAACTGGTATAATCCACCTAAATGCACAAAGTACTGTAGTTGTGATGATATGTACAGTTTTACTAACACATGTCAAAGTTGTTAAAATTTTACTTAGGCTTTAAGATTTGTTTGACCCTTAGGCATGAAGGGGTTAAGGCACAGCTTGAAATTTCCACTCTGCTGCTCGCCAATGGCGAGTGGAAATTATGGTGGGGGCGAGTGTGTCCCCCAGGGCCATCTTGCTGAGCAGGCTCGGAGCTCAGGCCGGATCTGTCATTGGCACTGGGAGCTGTCAGACTGCTCAATAGCTGAGCGCAGTGAAAGCAAAGCAAGGAGTGTGTGCTTGTACTCTCTGCCTCCCCCTAGAGTGCAGTACCCGACTCTGTGAGTGAACAACGAAAGTACTGCAACTTTTTATGGGGGAGGGGTGTGTGTGGGTGTACGTGTACATGTGTGTGTTTGTGTGTGTCTGTATATGCATGTACAATTGTACATGAGTGTCTGTGTGTATGTACATGTGTGTAATCTGTACGTGTTTGCGTGTATTTTACATGTATGTGTGTGTGTACATGTGTCTGTGTGCATGTACGTTTGTGTTTGTTTGTTTGGTGTATGTACATGTGCTTGTGTGTACATGTGTCTGTGTATGTATGTACATGTGTCTGTGTGTATTTCTGTGTATGTACATGTATCTGTGTGTATGCATGTCTGTATGTGCCCGTGAGTGTATACATGTGTCTCTGTGCGTGTGTGTACATGTTTCATGTATTTGTGTGTATGCGTGTCTGTATGTGCCTGTGTGTGTATACATGTGTCTGTATGTGTGTGTGTACATGTGTCTCTGTGTGTGTGCACATGTTTCTGTGTGTATGTACATGTCTGTGTTGTGTGTGTACATGTTTTCTGTGTGTATGTGTGTGTGTGAACATGTGTCTCTGTGTGTGTGTGTGTGTGTGTACATGTTTCTGTGTGTGTATGTACATGTCCTATGTGTGTGTATATACACATGAGTCTCTGTGTGTGTGCACATGTTTCTGTGTGTATGTACATGTCTGTGTGTACATGTTTCTGTGTGTGTATGTACATGTCTGTGTGTGTGTACATGTGTCTGTGTGTGTGTGTACATGTTTGTGTGTGTGTGTATGTATGTGTGTACCAGTGTCTCTGTTTGTTGGTGGCGAGTAACTCTAAGGCCTGGCTAGTAGCTCAGGACTTGAAATTGTAAGCCCTGGGTTAAGGAATATCATATTAAAGGAATAATTTTTTTCACTATATGAATACAGGAGATCAAACCAATACAATTCATTTCCAGGACCGATAGCCAGGTCTCGCTCTGGAGGGATTACAGTCGGAATCCACTGATGGAATGTATAGTTCAGAACTGGAGTCTATATTTAGGGGTAATAAGTATTTCTATCCTGTACATGCAAGAAGTAACTGCTGTGGATACATTTCAGGGTCTGGTATAGAGAGAGAACGTCTCAGCCGAGGGAGGAGGTCTCACACTGGATCTGCCCATGTCAGAGACTATTTGAGTAAAGCGCAGAGAGAAAAAGCCTTTAATGGGTTAAAATCCCATCAGGATATAGTTATACGTGCTGCTGACCAGGGCGGAGCTGGTGATTCTCGCTTCAGATGACTATAAATTGGAAGCTTTACGCCAACGTAATGATACTGCTACATACCAGGCTCTGGAATCGGATCCCAAATCGGCTTTTAAACAACAGCAGCTGTCACATTTGCTAGATATTGGACTGTCCCCTAAAACAGCAGAATTTTTGATGGGCGACTGTCCAGTAGTTGCAGCTTTTCACCATCTACCCAAGCAGGACACCCCAATTAGATGAGATGAGATTTTACAATGCATACTTTTTTCACATAAATTTTTGACTTCATGAATTTGCATATTCTTATAATATTGCGTCTCCTGTTTTTCTCATCTCTATTTTGTATAGGTACCAGTTTTTTGCAAGGGCATCTGTTTTTTGGATTTTTGGCATATAATAGAAGAACAACGCTTGGCACATGAAATGTATGTATTTTCTATTACAGTGAAGGAAATGCATATTTGCTCCCCAGCTGATTTTGAATGTTTGCCCCTCACACAGAAATGATCGGTCTAAAAAATCAAATGTTCGGTGTATTGTAACACTGAGAGGCAGAATAGCAACAAAAAATTCAGCAGAAATGCATGTCTAAACAAATGATGACTGATCTGCATGTTCATAAGGGAAATAAGTATTTGATCCCCTATCTTTCATACAGGTAACAAGCTGAGATTAGAAGCAGTCTCTTAAAGGGAGTGCTGTAATCACTGTATGTGATTTGTAATTTTCACTACCAAATCTCCATTGTGATATTTATTCTCACACATGCTCCTCTTTTTGATGGAGCGTGTGTGTATTTGTATGATATATAATACATACATACATACACATATAATATATATACATACAGTGGGGCAAAAAAGTATGTAGTCAGCCACCAATTGTGCAAGTTCTCCCACTTAAAAAGATGAGAGAGGCCTGTAATTGGCATCATAGGTAGACCTCAACTATGAGAGAGAAAATGAGAAAAAAAATCCAGACAATCACATTGGCCGATTTGGAAAGAATTTATTTGCAAATTATGGTGGAAAATAAGAATTTGGTCACCTACAAACAAGCAAGATTTCTGGCTCTCACAGACCTGTACCTTCTTCTTTAAGAGGCTCCTCTGTCCTGCACTCATTACCTGTATCAATGGCACCTGTTTGAACTTGTTATCAGTATATAAAAGACACCTGTCCACAACCTCAAACAGTCACACGCCAAACTCCACTATGGTGAAGACCAAAGTGCTGTCGAAGGACACCAGAAAACAAAATTGTAGACCAGGCTGGGAAGACTGAATCTGCAATAGGCAAGCAGCTTGGTGTGAACAAATCAACTGTGGGAGCAATAATTAGAAAATGGAAGACATACAAGACCACTGATAATCTCCCTCGATCTGGGGCTCCACGCAAGATCTCACCCCGTGGGGTCAAAATGATCACAAGAACGGTGAGCAAAAATCCCAGGACCACACGGGGGGACCTAGTGAATGACCTGCAGAGAGCTGGGACCAACGTAACAAAGGCTACCATCAGTAACACACTACGCCGCCAGGGACTCAGATCCTGCAGTGCCAGACGTGTCCCCCTGCTTAAGCCAGTACATGTCCGGGCCCGTCTGAAGTTTGCTAGAGAGCATTGGATGATCCAGAAGAGGATTGGGAGAATGTCATATGGTCAGATGAAACCAAAATAGAACTGTTTGGTAGAAACACAACTCGTCGTGTTTGGAGGAGAGAGAATGCTGAGTTGCATCCAAAGAACACCATACCTACTGTGAAGCATGGGGGTGGCAACACCATGCTTTGGGGCGGTTTCTCGGCAAAGGGATCAGGACGACTGATCCATGTACAGGACAGAATGAATGGGGCCATGTATCGTGAGATTTTGAGTGCAAACCTCCTTCCATCAGCAAGGGCATTGAAGATGAAACGTGGCTGGGTCTTCCAACATGACAATGATCTCAAACATACCGCCCGGGCAATGAAGGAGTGGCTTCGTAAGAAGCATTTCAAGGTCCTGGAGTGGCCTAGCCAGTCTCCAGATCTCAACCCCATAGAAAACCTTTGAAGGGAGTTGAAAGTCCGTGTTGCCCAGCGACAGCCCCAAAACATCACTGCTCTAGAGGAGATCTGCATGGAGGATGGGCCAACATACCAGCAACAGTGTGTGCCAACCTTGTGAAGACTTACAGGAAACGTCTGACCTCTGTCATTGCCAACAAAGGATATATAACAAAGTATTGAGATGAACTTTTGATATTGACTTATCTTCCACCATAATTTGCAAATAAATTCTTTCCAGATCAGCCAATGTGATTGTCTGGATTTGTTTTCTCATTTTGTCTCTCATAGTTGAGGTCTACCTATGATGCCAATTACAGGCCTCTCTCATCTTTTTAAGTGGGAGAACTTGCACAATTGGTGGCTGACTAAATACTTTTTTGCCCCACTGTACATACATACATATATATATATATATATATATACATATATATATACACATACACACACACACACACATATATATACACACACCTCCCGGCCCTTTAAGGGTTTCAGAAGCTGGGAGGCAGGGTTTTAGGGTCATGTGACCGCCGTGATTCACTGTCACATGATCGGGAAAGGTCCCGTTCACAAGAAGAGATCGGGACCTTTCTGTGAGTGCCGGATGTGTGCTGGGAGCGCAAGGGGCACGCGTTCTCAGCACGGTTTTCTTAATTTCATGCAAATGTGCGGCCCAGACGCCAGGAGGCGAGCGGCCGGCGAAGAGGTTAAGCACTATGCTGTGATCAAAGCTGTTTGCCGAAACGCATCGGCGTGCTTTTATGTCACTCCTGTGTAATCAATAAAGTCTTCATATGGATTTCGGAGTTGCCGGCTCTTCCTATTTTTCCATATTGTATCCAGTGTTGGGAAGACACTTTAGAGCCTTAGCACCTGCGTTTGGATTCCACTACTAAATTCAAGGTGTGTTCCCTGTCCTTAGCGCTGCTCTTTGCTGCCTTGTCTCTTTGGGGAGACAATGCTGTTAGAAGGAAGTTTAACCTGTTCGCGCCGTCGGCACGCAAATGTGCGGCCACCCAGCATCTGGACCTTGACGCCGAGCGGTCCGCACATTTGCGTGCAATTAAGAAAAAACATACGTGCTGAGAGCGCAACGCCCTGCGCTCTTCCAGCACATAAGCCTGGTACTCACGAAAAGGTCCCGATCTCCTCTTTAGATCGGGACCTTTCCTGATCATGTAACCGCCGTGACAGCGAATCATGTCGGTCACATGACCCTTAAACCCCGCCCCATCTCCCGGCTTCTGAAACCCTTAAAGGGCCAGGAGGCACTGGCGCCAAGGGGTTAAACCCCCCCCACTTCAATATTAGGCCAAATCACCCTGTACCCCTAACAGGCACAGGGTGACTTACACATAATAGCGATATGGGGAGCTGAGACAGGGGTCTCCCACCTCTCCAAAGTGAGCTGGTGTCCATGGGCCCCCCCACCCAAAGTGACTCCCGTCCAGGGGCGGACTGACCATTCGAACACTCGGGCACTGTCCGAGGGCCCGGGGTCAGTAGGGGGCCCCATGAGATGCCCCTGGTACCTTTCATTGGCTTTTTCATAGGCTTTTTTGGGTGTTGGTGAGGACACAGGGGCCCCATGATCCCCTATTGCCCGGGGGCCCCATGAGATGTCAGTCCACCCCTGCTCCCATCACAACAACTATGCAAAACTTTTGATTTCAGACTCTTATAACCCCTTATACAGCAGCACTGGTAGAAGGAGGATCAGTGCCAGCACCCAATCCTATGTGACAGATATCCATATGCCTACAGGGAGTAGACTGACAGGAGGGAGGAGCAGACTGACAGGAGGGAGGAGCAGAGTGCAGCTCCTCTGTCCAATCAGCTGGCAGAATGTGGATTTATTGACTAGTCCATAAGGTTTTTTGCGGTGAAGCTCACTGCCTGGATCACACAATCCTACCTGCTTTCCCGGAGTCCAGCTTTAGGCCGATAGAAGTGTCACACTGAATACAACATTGTGAAAATGCTTTGCCATCGCATTTAAAAATTTCCAAAGCTCACCTCTGGATCATTGAC